ATGTAGCACGTGGTTAGCTTTCGAAAACCTTATTAAACGTAAAGGTCTTTATAGAATGTAAGTAAGATACGGAGAGTCTAACTAAAATGTAGTGCAACGTAACACTGTCTAAAAAAAGAAAGTTGTACGATCCGTTGATTCAATTGTGAAGCATTGTCGTCGTCGATGCTATTAAGAGAGGGCAGTTTAACACACTTCCGCTAGTCGACTGTTACGGTGTTTTCTTACATGAACCATAATCGCGCGCATTTGATTAAAAACGCACACAAAAACAGCCTGTGTTTATCTTAAACCATTTAGGAGTTATAAGCATTTAAAATGAGCATGATTCTTATTTCTTATTTTGATAATAATAATATTACCCTGAAAAATCAGAACAATTCTTGTCCCAAAAAACTGAAAACGCTATTAACCTAGGAGAAAATTAAAGATTCGCAGGATCTGAAGACACTAAAAAATCGGAAATCCACACAGCCCGTAGATTGTTGAATTTAAAAAATCTTAAGAATTCGAAGAAAATCTGAAAAAATCGAAGAACTTAAAGAATCGAATTAATACGATGAATAGTAAGAACCTGAATGATGTAATGATGGCGGTGCGTAAAGTTTCAGCTCCCTGATACTCGCAGAATCTAAAGAAACTTGAGAAATCGATCGTATTACAATGAGAAACAATTGAAAGAAGAACGAAAGAAAAAAAAGAGAAAACCGAAGCCTGAAGAATTCAAATAGTTCATAGATTGAAGAGTTTAAAAAAGCTAAGGAATTCGAACAAATTGAAGGATCCAACGAAGCATAAAGATCTGAACCAAATAAGAAATTAAGGAATCGGAGAGTTCCAATGAATTGTAGAAACTTGGAAGGATTTCTTGAATTAAAAAAAAACAATATCGATGCAAGGTTAAGTGCCTAAAAACTGGGCTCTATAGGAATTGGAAAGTACCTTTCATTTGAAATTTCATTTGGCTCCCTAGCATGTATAGTTTAGGAGAGACACCAATTTACAGTTCCGTATTTTTCTCAATTTTTGGAAATAATACCATTTTTAGCGCATTTTTTAAGAATTAAAAGAGAAATATGAGACAACTAACTTGTCTCGGATTTTACATGTAGGTACATTCCTCTAGTGATGTTATGAAAAACTTTTGAGAATGGGGGAAAGAGATGGGGTAAATCAGAGCTGTGCAAAGGAATTGGTACAAAAGGCTTGGAAAGCCTCAAGCTCTAAAAGAGCTTGCAATTCCAAGGCTTCAAGCCTTTTCTAAAAACAGGGCTTTGGAATTTACGTCTAAAGCCTTTTCGCGTGAGCTTGGGGCTTTGGATTTCGGACAAAGAGCTTAACTTCCTTTTAAAAGAATTGAAATCACTTTTTCATTGAAAAATCCATTTTAAGGATGCAATTCCCTTTAAAGAGCTTCAATTCCTTTTTAATAGACTTGAAATCCTATTTAAAAAGGCTTCAATTCCTTATATGCCTCCCACTCCCACATCATTTTTTATTTCCAATTTTTGTGAGCTTGCACTTTGCAGTACGTAGAACTGTTAGTGCGTGCGGTGTTGTTTTCTAATGGGATAAAGTGTAAGTACCTACCTCTATCTAGAGCCTTAACTAAATTATAATACAATTATGGGTTACGTTGCGCTAATAAGCCCCCCAGGTATGATCATGAAATTGATAGAAATGGATAGAGGACACCTTAATTACATGTTATCAGTTAAAAAATTTGCGGAAGAAGCCTTACATTTTCCACAATCTTCATTCAAAGTTCACTTCATTTCGTCGTAAGTGAGGTTACATTACTCCAAATTTCATGATTGTTTTTCAGTTGGTACTGGTGTTCTTAACATTCCTGAGTGCCAACTTTAGTTAGTTTCTTAAGAGGTTATGTTATTTTTCCACGATTTAATTAACTTTAAACAATGATATACAATGTTTTTAATTATACCATAATAGCAGTAAGTAGTTCTCTACATCCTACATTGCTAAGCAGCGATCCATGGAAAATGCGAGTGATGTTCCTTCCCCTCTCGACCGTATTAGGCGGTGGATGCTAAGCGTCGATTCATATGAAACATGCAGGAAGTGTCCGGGTTTCCCCTCTCGGTGATCGATACCAAGAAATTTTTGCCACATGCAACCTTCTCTACGACATCCTTCTTCCCTAATGCATTCAAGTTTAGACTGTATAAGCTTCAAAAAGTGGTGTTATTAAAATGTCAGTCACATGGAAGTGTCGCTTATTTGGTGTTTAAGTCGAACAAAACCTAGAATTGAATTGTATATTATACCTGTTGTACTACTTTTATTACATTCTCTTAATATACACGTTAAACCCAACATATTTCATTTTAGTAGACGAAGAAGTTAACATAACCTCCTACAAAAATTTACTGTCACCTTTGTTTATTAGGGGAAAAAGAGCTGTCACATAAAATTTTTCAGTTTCACCAACTTAAGAATTACAAAATATACGTAAAATAACACCAGATTTCCAGAAAATGAGGTGAACTTTTAATTAAGATTGTGGAAAATTTAGGCCCTCTTCCGCAAATTTTTTAAATCTAAACGTGTTATTAAGGTGTCCTCTATCCATTTCTATCAATTTCATGATCATACCTGGGGAGCTTATTAGCGTAACGTACCCCAATTATGCACTAGCAAGCAAGCAAACCAAACCAGCACTTGTGCAAACCAACTATATTTATTTATTACGTTACGGCTACTGGGTCCTGTATTCTCATTATATTTTATTGCTTCACTCAACGATTTTATAAAAACGAAAAACACTTGTTAGAATAATAATCATTCATATTTTATTAGACATTTCAATTCCTTTTGCGAAGGAATTTCATTCCTTTGCCAAGGATTTCAATTTCTTTTAATTCCAAATCCCAATTCCTTTTCCTAACGGATTTCAATTCATTTTTAAAAAAAGAATTCAATTCAATTTCAAAGGGCTTTGAGCTTAAGGCTTCGTAACTTTAAGCCTTTTTTAAAGGGCTTTGGAATTTTAAGCCCTTTTCGTGCTAAGAGGAATTTGAGCTTTCCATTCACCATTCCTCTTACACGGGCTTGAGGGCTTTGGAATGAAGCCCATTGCAAAAGGGCTTTGCACAGCTCTATTTACATATTCTACCCTTCATGGTATTCTAATGAAAGGTCTCATCGAAATTAATATTGCTTTCTACAAACTATAATCTTCCTACGCGACTGCATTCTACCAGTTACCGTCCTTCTTTCTAGCCCCTTATGAAAGGAATAAAAGGAAAGGAATAAACGTTTACCAATCATAGTCTTGCTCCTCGACCCCTTATCGTGATCGATTATAATTACTTACATTTCAAAGAGTGGATTGTGGGGAAAGCGTACTTACAAAAGGCGATTGGGACATTTGGAAGAAATATATACATTGATGATGGTATAACGTTAAAGCGAAAACGGTGTGTCGGAGGGGAGTACAAAGGCAAAATGAATCATCTGAACGAGACATTCCTATCTATTGGTGCAGTCCACATTATTAACATATAATATATATAATATCGCATATTACATTCCGTCTATTGCTTTTTAGGGGGTAATTTTTGAAAAAAATAGACTAAATTTAGCTAAAATTTAAAGATTAAATAAATAAATTTAGGTATTTATTTCTGTATGTATATGTTACGCACAAATATCGAAAACGCTCAATGACGAAAATAACGCACACAACGCGTTATGGCCGCAGCTAAATGACCAAACACCGAAATTAAATATTTATACGTGTTATGGTCGTTAACTTGCTGTGGTCATTTTAGAAGAGACCACAACGCGTTTGCTCGTTTGAAGAATGACCATAATACATTGAATTATTTATTAAATGACAACACATTTAAAAAATATAAAGCATTTTGAAAATAGCATCGTGTAGACGTTATTTCCGTCTAAAGACCAAAAATTATGACGGGGCATCCTGTATATGACAAAATTTCAATTTATTGCGTGTAAATCGAGGGATTATCTAAGAATAAGCACAGAGGTGATTTTATTTGAATTTGAATTTCCGTATTTGTTGTTCGTTTTAGAATTGTTTGTAATTATGTGACGTTATTTTCAAAATGCATTATATTTTTTAAATATATTGTCATTTAATAAATAATTCAATGTATTATGGTCATTCTTCAAACAGACAGAACGCGTTGTGGACTGTGGTCGCTTCTAAAATCACCACAACGCGTTGTGATCATAAGTTAACGACCACAACACGGAAAAATATTTAATTTCGGTGTTTGGTCATTTAGCTTCGGCCACAACGCGTTGTCTGCGTAATTTTCGCTCATTGAGCGTTTTCGATATTTGTGCGTAACATATACATAATCTATTTGTGTAAATTTACAAAGCAAAAGATTTTATTTTCAAAAATGACTAAAAACATGAAACTTTAAATTAGTGTATTTCCTAAACTATATCTACATATTAAGGGGCCAAATAAAATATCAAATTAAAGGGTACTTTTATACACTACAAATATTGCCGTTGGCGAATTATTTAAAAAAAAAACAATCTGAAAAGTCAGAAATTTTTGCAGATTTTTTCCACGGAAATTTCTCCCGACGTCAGTCGCATTGACAAACTTGAATTTTTCTCTCTCTTTACCATTTAAGCAAGTCGAAAAAATAAAATCTACCGGACTTTTTGTAACCATTAAAATTCCAATGAATCAAAAAGTACTGCTATGACATACTTTGAGCAGACTTCCTAATTCACTTTTCTTTCGAAACTGCGAAAGAATTATCAACATTAAAACCAAGTGAGTACTTAGCTTTACACGTACCTATCACACGATATCAAAGCATTGCACGCACATCATGAAACAACAGTGCCATCGTTGACCAATGACAATCATTCATGATGCAAAAGTGCAGAAAGAAAATTAATAGCGTAATACAATGTCCTTGCAACCGCGCAAACACTATTACTTAGATTGCATGCTCACCATCAGACATTAAGAGGTGTGTACTTACGTTTTGGCACTCTCAAGTTTGGAAGCATGGCACTCTTCTGAAAAAAGAAGAAAATTGTGTTAAGAAAATTTAGCCAAAATGGAACGAAAACATTGAACTGCACGCATCGAATCGTAAAAGCACGGTTTCAACATATAAGAAGAGATATATTTGACATCCGTACATTATGTGGTAAACAAAATGAAAAACGGAATATAAATAGATTGTATGCAACAGGTACGTAATCACTGCATAATTTTGTAAAACTAATAAAAACATTGCATAAGAAATTATTTTTATTAGTTTGTTCTAAGAAGAGCGCTATGATAAAGGTTACCTTACGACTATTCCTACGCAATAAAAATGCACTTTGTCACGATCTTGGATTTCCGATTTTGAAGCAACTGTCTCGCTGTCCCAATAATTTTTATTAATGACGCAAGGTGTAAGGAATCATCACTTATAGAGAAGCGATGACCACAAAGGTCGCTTAAAGTGTGATAAATACAAGAATAGTCATTTTCTAAGAAAATTGTTTATTTAAAACAAGCTGTTATGAATCAATTAAATATTTGGATCATAAATAATATTTATAGGAGCGCATCATTTTTTAAATATTAATCATTAATCGTTAGTCACGCACCTATTTACAGGAAATTGAAATGATGACGCCAAAAACTAATGGTCCGTGCGCCCATTGAGAACAATGATAACGCTTATCTTTCGCTACAACAATTACAGCCGAATGGAATTTAATCTTATCGGTCTCCGCATCCACGTGTGTATAAGACCCTATTTCAAATCCAGCCAAAAGACTAGACCAATGATCATCGGCGAACAGGTGCCGTTCCTATTCCCCAAATAGCACCTGCCGGTCACAAAATTACTATTCTCAAGTGTTGGTTTCTCGAAACTTTTTAGAGGGTATTTTTTTACGTGGACGGCTTTGACCCATTTTTCCACCGAACAGATGGTCCTAAACTAACAAGTTTCATTCATGTAATCCGATCGGGCTAGATTTTTTCTATTACACGCGCTTTTTTCGTCATCGCGTAAAGGATGCGTCTCAATTGCGCATTGAGAAAATATGTTAGCCTTAAGACGAAATGAATGGTAACGGGTTGAAGGTCGCGTGTTTTATAAAATCGTGACGAGCGTGACACCAATGCTGTAGTTTCAGCGATCCAATGACATTCTTTTGTAGCCTTTATTGAAAATGTGAAAGAATAGTTCTCTGGCTGACCAGGACCCTGTATGCAATGTAGGTAGTGTATAGAGTATCACCCATATTTTTCTTGAAGAGGACCATTACGACTCCAAACAAAAATTGGGTGGCCGTTCCAAATCGTGGTAGGTTTTGAGTTATGACGTCATATGCATTAAATTTGCGTATTCTTCTAAACTATTCACACTAATCCACAAATGTTACATATCAAATGAAAGGTGTTTATTCGAATTAGTCAAATATAATCGAATATTATTTAGTTTGTTATCACTAGTTCGAGATATGACGTTATAATGGCTGGCTGGTTGGCAGCTAATGGGAACCCGTAGAAGAACGCTTGCAGAAAGCCGACGAGTGTACCGGGGCCGTGTAACTAACAATTTTAGGAACGGGGCTACCTGATGTGAGGTCGGCGACATCTGAGCGCCATCCCCGAGTGTGGTGAGATTATTTCCGATTTTGGTCCGACTGTTTCCAAATTAGTGTCGTCGGAAAGATCTTGTAGCACCCACAGCTCCTTCGTGACGGAATTTTGTTTTTTTCCCTACGGGCGAAATTAACCAGCTTTTGCAAAGCGCACGTTTTCGAGACGTAGTCGACTTTGGGCGTCCAAAAATTTTCAGAGCTCGAGATATGACGTCATAATGACCACTTCACCACTTTTATGAGGTTGACTCCCAAACGAAGCACGTTGGACGCTCGATTTATTTGAAAAAAGTGCTGTTTTGATCCCCCCTTCCACCAAATTTTTACATACATATATGTAACACCCTGTGTATGTGACGAAACTAGTAAAGACAAAGACATGCATCTGGGTTCAGGATCCATAATTCAGTATTTATTGGCTTTACGATTCAAAAGAAAGTTAAAGAGTAAATTAAAAATTTGAAAACCTGAAGATCGAGATTCTGAATCCAGGGCATAATTTATGGTTTCAAAGCCTTTTCTTAAATGAGACTAACACGTTACAGATTTGACCATCTAAGTCTAAGGCGAGTTGGGCATAAATTCGGCTCACCCCCGCCTAGTTTTTTTAAAGATATCATCGATCTTTGTTTCTATAATCTTAGATAATGAGGTCTTCCAATATGAAAGCACGCTTATCATTGGTATAGTTTTAATTATTCATAAATCGTGAGAATTAATGATCGAAAAGAGTTCTGCATGCTATAAAAATGATCCATTATCCATACATACGTTTCAGACACTGAAAACGTTGAAGCTTAAAGAAGATTTTGACGAAATTGATGTAAGTACAGGGTGGTTCAAATTAGAGGCTCACCATTGTGATCTCCGTAACGGTGAGAGATACAGTGTAGATGTGATGGGGGCAATTTTGTGACTAAAAAAATGCATTTGAAATTTTTGAAAAATCTTTGATAATTGAGATAGCGCCAAAAAACTGAAAATGTCAATTTTCGTTTTCATTGTCACTAGCTTAAACGGTCGGTCTCGGTTTTTTTCGGAGAATCTGAATCTGTTATCGGCATTTCCACAGCACGCTAGATGTAGAAGGTTTTATGGGTCAACAAAGAAAAATAATTACTTCTCACATTCTATCTTTCTACATAAATTTAAAAGAAAAATTTCACCAGTAACTAGATCTTGCTGAATCAACATGGCTATAATGGCGATGCATACAAATGATTCTTTTGTTGTCCTCTATCTCATTCCGTAAAAATCCAATATGGCGTCTATAAGAAATAAGTAAGTGGTAGCCACCTGTAGCTTCTACATCTAGCATGCCATGGAAATTCTGACAACAGATTCAGATTTTCCGAAAAAAAAAAGTGCCCATAGAAGGGGACCGTCCATTGCCGACCGTTGAAAATGAGGAAGTAGTCAAAAACAAATTTGACATTTTCAGTTTTTCGATAAAAATCTTTCAAACATTTCAAATGCGTGTTTTTAGTCACAAAAAGGGTCAACTTTGCACCCATTTAACCGCATACCGTTACATAGACCCCAATGGTGGGACACGAATTTGAACCACCCTGTACATGTAAATTCACAAATCCTCGAAGTGTATCATTGTGGTATTTTTAGTTGACTATTTCGAAGAATTTTTAAAAATTGCCGTACAATTAGAAATATTGTAAAGGAATTTCTGGGATTTCCATTTACTAATTTAGTTTTATTACAATTCTGATTCTTTTTTTTGGGCGAACTTTCAGTGAGCTTGAATCCGACTTGAATAGTAGCAGAGCAAAATTTCGACCGAACGTCAAATTTGTTTTCGACATTCAGCCTGTTTTCCCGATTAAATTGGTGCGTATTATCACGTCAACAGTCTCGAACATGCCGATAGACAGAAAAAAGTGTGATCTCTTATAGAAGCTTTTTAGTTCAAAAGCTCTAACTTCTTAAATAAGCAAGTGGCCCATACCTACCTAAAAATACCTCAAAATTCAGAGGTATAGGAGATAATCTTTTCAGTGATTTAACCCTCGGCTGTAACGTCTAGATAAAAATAATTACCGCAATGTAGGAATTAGCATGTGAACTTTGTATTTTATTGCAATTCAGACAGCCTTCGATTGACGATTACATTAATTATTCCGTGCCCTATTTGCGTGAAATCCATTTACATGGATTACGGAGTCTCTTTTTTTTTGTACCAATGAAATGAAATTCCTCAAATACGTAATCTTAGTACAACACTGATAAAAGCTTATAAGTGTAAACACTTGTAATTAGAAATATAAGCGCGATATTACGTAATTAGATTATATCATTTCATCTTCAAAACGCCTAACACACGTACACACACTACTTTTATCTAAATAATAATAATAAAGTTGAACAACCTCTAATTTTATTTATTTAAAAAGCGGCAACAGACGCATTTTTTATAGACATATCCGTGTTTTTCTACCAGTTTTTCACCGTTTACTTTACGGAAACGCCACATTAAAATTCAGCGTTGTGGTATCTAGCTGAATAAAAATTCAATTTGCATTTTTTTTTATTAAAAAAAATTATTATTGTATAATAGTAGGTCCATTTCCCATGTATTTTACAATTAAATAAGTTAAAGGGATCGCTGTCTCTTTATAGAAATAATTACTATGAAATTGTTGATAAAGATGTAGAAATACCTTCTCTTGGGTAGAATCCCACGCTACTTCTTGGTATTGCATTGTGTCATTTATGTAAGTATGTAGTAGTGGGCTAGTTTTAAGGAATGCGGTTGCCTGTGGGTGCGTGCGGGCCCGCAGGGTCTCGACCCCTGGAGGCCGCGTGATTCACATCATCGACTCCACCATATAGGGACTAGCGCCATCCCGTCCCGACAATCTTCATATTCTTTTACCATCTTAGGATTAAATAATATATGCAAATTGGAGCGAGGTTTTTGCCGAGCCGATTATGCGAAATTATTGCAAAGGACCCCGGATTATTATAACCATATGGTGTAAAACTACAAATTTTCGCATAGTTTCGTCTGGAAACCACACGATCCCCGCCTCTTACAACACTTCATCAATCATAATCTCGTTTAAATGGGCCAAATAAGTGCTTTTCCCACAGTGACAAGTTTTCAAATTTATGCGAAGATAGTATTTCACCGTAAATCGGACCTTTTTTTTTCGTTCGGGTTAGAGGGGAAGTTTTAACCTGTTCTCATAACATATACCGTATTTTATGAGCTTTTTTTTATTTGAGTAGCTGCTTTATTCTTCCTCGAGAATGTTGTACAAAGGATTTCCTGTTTCAGACTTGAGTTATAATGTTTTTTATGTATTTCGTCATACTCGAAGGGTGCTTAATTAGAGAGCAACCCGATATATCGCATTTAGAGTAGTACATCTTTTATTAACGATAAAATAAAA